AGGGAAGAAAGAAAGAAAGAAAGAAAGAAAGAAAGAAAGAAAGAAAGAAAGAAAGAAAGAAAGAAAGAAAGAAAGAAAGAAAGGAATAAAGTTATGAAGAAAGAGGGAAGGAGGGAGGAAGGAAGGAAAGGAAGGGAAGGAAAGGAAGGAAGGAAGGAAAGGAAGGAAAGGAAGGAAAGGAAGGAAGAATAGCAGGATAAAAGAGTTGGAAGGGACCCTAGAGGTCTTCTAGTCCAGCTCCTTGCTCAAGAAGGAGGACCTCTCTCAGACAAATGGCTGTCCAATCTCTTCTTTAAAACCTCCAGTGATGGAGAAGGAAGGAAGGAAGAAAAGAAAGGAAGGAAGGAAAAAGAAAGAAAGAGATAGAGAGGAAAGGAAAGAAAGAAAGAAAGAGAAAGAAAGAAAGAAAGTTATAAAGAAAGAGGGAAGGAGGGAGGAAGGAAGGAAGGAAGGGAAGGAAAGGAAGGAAAGGAAGGAAGAATAGCAGGATAAAAGAGTTGGAAGGGACCCTAGAGGCCTTCTAGTCTAGCTCCTTGCTCAAGAAGGAGAACCTCTCTCAGACAAATGGCTGTCCAATCTCTTCTTTAAAACCTCCAGTGATGGAGAAGGAAGGAAGGAAGGAAAAAGAAAGAAAGAGATAGAGAGGAAAGAAAGAAAGAAAGAAAGAAAGAAAGAAAGAAAGAAAGAAAGAAAGAAAGAAAGAAAGAAAGAAAGAGGGAGGCAGGGAGGAAGAAAAGGAAGGAAGGAGAGCAGAATAACAGCGTTGGCAAGGCAGACCGAAGGTTTTTCTTGCATGCTACACACACACACATACACACACACACACACACCCCAACCAACCAGAATGGCTGCCTGCCCTGCTTCTCCTGGCAGCGCAGCTAAGCTGTTGACCTCCCATCTCGTCTCATCAAGTTCCTAAGTACATTTTCATTACTCCGCTCGCTCGGCTGTCGCTCGTCCTCTTTCCCCTCCTCGCTCCTCTCTTCTCCTTTCATGCACGATGAATAACGACAAGGCCGGGCGGGGGTCCTGCCCCCAGGGAGCCCGACGGAGCCCCCCCCTCCTCTTAATGCAATTTTCCTCCCCTCCGCTGGTGCTGGTGGCCGGCCAAGGGGGAGGCGTGGAAGGGATCTCTTCCTGGAAAGGGTGGGTTTCCCCCCTGAATGTGTTTTGCTTCTCATCCAAGAAGCTCCTTCCTCCCTCCCTTCCTTCCTTTCCTTTCCTTTCCTTTCCTTTCCTTTCCTTTCCTTTCCTTTCCTTTCCTTTCCTTTCCTTTTCCTTCCTTCCTTCCTTTTCCTTCCTTCCTTCCTTCCTTCCTTCCTTCCTTCCTTCCTCCCACCCTCCTTCCTTCC